ATGACAATCAATAACATAGAAGATCGACAAATTCTGATGCAACCAAACAACCTATAGAGACAAAATTATCTATTTTAATTTGGGGTAAAATATTAGATGTCTATATATGCACATCAGGCTTCTTGGAAGATTGACGAGAAGTTAAGATTGTCGAACTGCCATGAAAAGTTCGGGTCGAGTTATAGAGTATGGAGAGTAGCTGAAAGGTACGAGTCAAAGAATACAATGGACCTCTTCTCAAATACAGCTATCTCAGCTAGGAAAAGTTATTCGTCTGAGAGAAACGAACTGAGTCTTTATTTGTATTTTCTAATTCACTATACTCAGGTTTCTACTTGAGTGTTTATCTCACATTGTGGTAAATACGCTTCAAATAACTATATCTCAGCGTAATCACCGTGTGAACCGGGGGTCGCTGGTTATTTATTGATTATCTTATGATTCTATAAAACATGTGTACAAATAATTTGGGGTTCATTAAAACCCTAAAACTTAGTTAATCCCATCTAACCTGTACGAACCCAATTAAAGCTATGTATCATTCTAAATGGCGTCTCGGCGACGTTTCCGTGACCGAGCCTGTGAGTCCTTATGATAGGCAACGATGTCGTTAGCATCGTCGAAGGCCTCCGCTGTCTCCCACGTTGATTCACTCTCGCGAAAACGCACCAAATACATCACTTTTTTGAAAACAATAAAAAGAATACTTGTTGGAACAGGGTAGATACCTTTGGAGTATCCTTTTGATTACTTTTCTCAGAGAAAGAGCTTCTTTCTTTCCCAGTTCTTTTCTTGCTTGTGTATCTTCCTTGTCTCTCTTTGATTCTCGATACTTGATAGCAGTCACCTTCTTGTTGATAGAGTAGCCCTCTTCGTTATTATTGACCTTGGTTTCTGACTATATACTGACTTATTATCGTAAATATATGTTCTTTACTAGAGCTAATTTATTTACTATACAGCTGGGGTTCCCACTCTCTCACGGAGTACCAGGAATCAACCTCGCTAGGCATATGGAATCCCTGGTTGCAGCATTGTCACTGGGTATCGCCTCTTTCCGCGCTTATGGCTTCCATGGCTTCAGCTGGCGACACCCCCGCAACCGACTGGTGATGTTCAAAACATTCATCCTATCCACGGCCACATATGGGCTGAACATTATTGCCTGGGCTCCGCCTATATGGAAGGATGCGTTGTACCCCCTATTCGAGCGCTTTAACTCAGCACTCATCCAAGCA